AATCATAATTGATCAGATTTATATAGCGCTTTTCTAGGCACTCAAAGATGCTTAACACTGTCAATTATTCATTCACACACATTAATTCCGGTGGTAGTAAGCTACGATTTAAGCCACTACTGCCCTGGGGCAGACTGAAAGAGGCTTGGCTACGCCGTGTTCTGTGCCTACGGCCCCTCCGACCACCACCTCAAATAATCTATTCATACGTATTCACACCAGGCAAGGTGGGTGAAGTGTCTTGCCCAAGGAAACAACGGCCATGACACAGGTTACAGGCCTTCCGATCATTGACCGACTTGGTCTACCACATGAGCCGCAGCCACCCCAAACACAGCACACACCTTGTCATTCTCCAAGGTACGAAAACACCACAGCCCACACAAAATTGTCCCTGGTGGCTTGCCATAGTTGAAAATTTACACTATCATACTCACACCTCTTCAGGGAGTGGAGACTGGCAACAACTATGTGGAAATTCAGTTAGCTTCATGTTACGTTAACTTTGTGGAGGAAGTTGTCTAAGCAAAGGAGATGATCTGGTACTCAGAGAACCGAGATCCTATGGAACTTTTAAAGGGACAGAAAGCAAGAGAGGAGACATCCATTGTAAGTCAATGTGAAAGTCTGTGCTAAACAAGGACTACCACTGAGTGCATTATTTGACCATCACAGCAATACACACCAGAAGCATTCAGGCGTCAGCAGAGAGAACCTAACACAGCATTTATGGAACAGAGTGAAGAGATAGTCTGGAGACGATAGAGAACTGTTTAAGTTGAATTTCATTTTTGTTGGCTCAAACCAACTGGACACCACCATTTGGTCTTCCACCGTTTATTAATATTGAAACCAGGTTCCTGAATACATTGTAAGATATTTCAAAAATTCCAGGTTGCTTCTTTAATTACCTTTACTTTAATTTCAGAAACTACTAAACCTTATCCACAGGTGATGATTTATAAGCATATCATGGCCATCTGGAACGTAAACTTTACAGCACAGATCATTTTATCTTTTTTTCAGTTACCAAAGTGAAACTGCTCACTTGTTGGTTTTCTTCAAAAAGGTTTCTCTATGTCAGCTCCCCTCCTGCTGAGTCTGAAGTAACAGTCTGACACAAAGTTTATTTTCCTGATTCATATAGTACGTATCAAATCACATGTCAGAATGTCAATTTGCAGAATTTTACATAAGGAAAAGAAATTCAAAATAGATATATTTGTTACCCAAGGCTATCTCTGTCCACACTGAATTGCTCCAGATGGTGGATTCCCTTAATTCAGAATTTAATGATATTGTACAGCAGCTTCAATTGGGAAGAAAATTGTTAGCAAGTTTGTTGTGATTCTACCCAATCAGTTGGCATTTAGTTTTTGTTTCTACATTCCTATCACTAGTATTATTTTCCATCCATCCATTATCTATGCACTGCTTAATCCTCACTCGGGTCGCAGGGGGGCTGGAGCCTATCCCAGCCGACTCAGGGCGAAGGCAGGAGAAACCCTGGACAGGCCACCAGTCTGTATTATTTTACATAAACTAAATATATTCAATGTCAAATCAAAGACAAAACATTTTAGATCCATTCAAAAACTCTTGGGCAGGAATGTGGACAGGAAAGTATCAAGTTGTTATCGCTTCTTTTAACATCCTACCTGTTTGGCTGTAAAGTAGGCCATGGCCGTATCAGTGACATGGTAGGCCTGCAGGCTCAATTCTGATAGGTTGGGTAAGAGCTGTGAGATAGCAGCAATGGCGTCATCTGCCACATTGATGCAGTCACTGACGCTGAGGGAAGTTAGACGGGCATTGAGACTGGACCATAGGCCAGCCTCTGTGAAGTCGTTGCAGCCCGACAGCTCAAGGTGCATCAGGCCTTGCATTTGCTCCAACATGACCTGCAAAATAACAGCCAGCCATTACAATCAATGATGTAACTCCTGAAATAAGGTTAAAGAGAGATAAATAGTAAGTTGATAGTACATAATTAATCAGAGAAGTACTGTTAAAGAAATGAAGAACCACAGTTTAAGATTATATGTACCATCCAAAACACATTTTTAAGTACAGTCTATTGTAATTATATTTAATCAAAAACATAAACTCGACTTAATGCTCATAGTTGTACCACTTTGTAATTAGCGTATGCAGCTGTATTTAACATCCTTTCCAACCACGATCTTAGTATTTAACAAGTGGTATATACATCGTATAACCAGTCAAAAGTTTAGTCACACCCATTAATTCAAGGCTGTTTGTAAAATTTTTTTTTTTTTTTAACTATTTCTACATCACAGAACACTACTGAAGACATCAAGTGTAAACAAGGCAAAATCTGTTTTAAGTTTTAAGAGTGCATCTACGATAGGACCAGGCAGGAGTGGCATAAGCCATCTCACCAATTTCGATGAAACTTGGCCAGTTTAAAGGGGTCCACCCAAAACTACTTCAGTCTAAATTCAAGGAAATTTGGTCAAAACCCAGGAGAGTTGATCACCTTTAATTCTTGCACCAATGATGTAAAGGCACACTTGAGAGAATTCCAAACAACACAATCATGTGTGGCCTCTGATACCCCTTTTCTACCAAGCTGGTTCCAGTGCTAGTTTTGAGCCAGAGCCTGACTTAGCACCAGTTCTTTGTCTTTCCACCACCTAAGCACCGGCTCCTGGTTCTCAAAACTGGTGCTTAGCAAACACCAACTTGTTGCTGGGCCAGAGCTGCGAACCACGTATGTCAGGGGCTTGGAGCAGTGTTATTGTGACCAACAAAACCGATGGAAACACAGAATGGGACACACAAGCAGTAATTTGTGTTGTTTTTGGCCAAGATGTCCCCGGTACAATTGCAGATGTATTGGAATGAGTTCTGGGACGCATGGAAGTTTTGCACAAACTGTTGCGCACTGAAATCCAGTACAGTTGTGTCCCACCAGTAGCACCACAGTGGTGGAAAACAGTGCTTTTATGACATAGGTGTGGAAGTGCAGTCTTTTCGTGAAAAACGGAGCACACTTACATGCGCTGTTTTCATGGAAAAGACCGCACAAGAAAAAATCCCTCAGTTTCATCTTGGACAAATTTGACATTAGAACACCCTAGCTTACTCTTTTTAAAGTCATTTTTGGTCGCACAACAGTCTGAGCACTGCAACCACCAACAGCAGCAACCACAGCCTGCTATGTGGGGCATTTGGGGAACATCGGTAAAATGTTTTGCAAGTCATATGTTTTGCCTGTGACAAGGGTGGAAAGTGCGACCAAATAAGAAAGTTGGTCGCACCAGTAGAAAAGTTCGTCTGGAGCCCTGTGTGGACCTCCGCGTGGTGTGGGTGTTGTTCGGTAAACGCTACTTATGCAGTGATGCAATGGCGTGGCTCTAACTTGGCTCCTTGCTACTCCAAAAGAAAAGCAAACAGGTTCTCAGAAGGTGTGAGATTTGAACCAACTAAGCACTGACACTAGTACCAACAACAAAGTAGCACCTGGTTCTTCTTGGTGGAAAAGCGGTATGAGATAGAGCTGATACTTGCTTGTGTCAGTTTGTTTGTCCAGGAAGGTGAGGATATGGTTATTTGCCCAAAGCATCGTGCTTTACTTGGAGTAAAATATTGTCCTTCAAGAAAGTGCCAGCTTTTGCTACATGGTTGTCGTAAAAGTATCCAGAGGGGTGAATTTGAAAATGTTGAAAGAGATAAAGAAAACATGGGATGTTTTGGTTCCCATAGGCCCAGGAAAGCGTCATCACAAAATGTAAATATGATGCTTATGCATGCTTTGGTCCTGGATGATTTCGCCCCATGTAAGGGAGTCCAAGACAGTTTTGGATTCTGGATTCTACGCAGTGAATTCCGGATCCAGGTATTATATTCCAGTCTTTGTTAGTGGAACTGGATTTAAGGATTTCAGTCACTAGTGGGATTCCGTATTCATTGAGCTTTATTCCAGATTCCAAAGACCAAGATTCCTGGATTCCACAAGCAAAATTTTTCAGATTCCAGATTCCACAAGCAAAAATTTCATGAAATCCAGAACCGGATTCCCTTACATGGGACGAATGCCTATACAAAACTGCAATACACTAGTTTAGTCAACTGTTTAATTAAAATAAAACAATTAAATTAAAGAAAACAATCTATCTTTTTTGAAGGACAATATTTTACTCCAAATAAAGCACAATGCTTTGGGCAAATAATCATATCCTCACTCTCCTCGTCAAACAAACCAACACAAGCAAGTATCAGCTCTTTCTCAGAGGGTACACATGATTGGGTTGTTTGAAATTCTCTCAAGTGTGCCTTTAAATCACTGACGTGAGAATTCAAGGAAAAACACTGCATATGATTGGGGTATCTAGTTGATACATTACACGCACTAGTACAGTACACAGCACAAGAGCACGAGAACTGCGGCATGGTATTTAACGAGAGACCTTTTCACCTCTGCATCACATGCCTCTAACTGATCGGTGCAGGTGCGGAACACTTTGAATTTTTCACGTTTGGCAATCAACAGTCTACTTATAGACAGCCTATGAATCTCAACAACCTTTTGATGTATCTGGGCTATTAGGTCTATTAAATATCTTAAGCCCCAATTCAACATTTAGTATCGCCACACCTTCATACATATTCTACGATTTTTAGAAAAAAACAGAACAAGTCAATTCGTTTGCATCAATTTGCATTCTTATTAGAGCAAAAGTTTGTTCTGTTTGTCCTGTTATTATGGAAAATCAAATCAAGCTATCAAATTACAAAGATGTATGCGTATGTGCTAGCCAGGAAGTAATTTCCAGGGATTATTTTACCGCCAAATGCATTTCTCCTTTTTAGACATATTAAGCAAACAACATTGAGTCGCAAGCATATCAATTTATTTTCAGTCGAGCGAAGTCTTTCTGATAAAGTTTTCTGTATTAAAATGCGATGTCAGGTGTGCAAGTTTTAAGCAAATGTATTATTCCTTCTTTGGACGAACAAAAGCAAATTTTATTATACAATCATTCTAACATTCAAATACAGACAATGTAAGTATTTTGATAGTGTTCTATGACCTGTGTGTTTGACTTAGCGAAGTGTAAGTCCCAATATGTAGTTCACTTATACAATAATAGAGGTCATTATTAAGCCAGCAATTCGCATTTTCATGGCTAATGACAAACAAAACCTTTCAAAATGGTTCTGTTTCATTAAAGTTTATGGTGTGCAACCATTTTGTGGCATTTCTGTCTGTTGCTGCGCCATAATTACCAAATTAGCGCCTTATGATGAAAAAAATTGCAGTAACCTGTGATGGAAGACGTGTTTGCAGTGCTCCTGCAGAATAATTCAGTGAGTGCCCAAAAATTTTTTTGCAGATAATGTTAAATTTCCTTCAACTTAGACTCAAGCAGTTTTGTGTGGACCCCTTCAAACTAGCAAGTGTCATCAAAATCAGTGAAATGGCTTTTGCCAGCCCTGCGTGGTCTTATCGTGGATGCACTCTTAAATTCTTCAAAGGACCTTCTTTTTGTTTTGATAACAGCTTTGTACTCTCTTGGCATTCTCTCAGCCAATTATATGAGGTATACACCTGGAATGCTTTTCCAACAGTCTTGAATGAGTCCCCACTATACTGAGATGACATGGCCACTCTAGGAACTTCAAGTTTTTTCCACTAATAAAAGCTTTGGTTACACAGGCAGTGTGCTTGGGGTATTTGTCTTGTTCTGGAGCAAATGAAACTTGTGAAATTGCTTTGCACATAGCCAAACAAAATTTGTCATAATGCTTCTGTCGTCATCTGTTACATCATCAGTAAAGATTAGAAGGCCAGTTACAGAAGCAGCCATACATGCTTAGGCCATGGCATTACCTCCTCCATCTTTCCCTGTTGAGGTAGACTGGTTTGGGTCTTTGGCACTTCTTGTATTTCTTGATACTTTTGGATATCCATGACCTTAGTCATCTGTCAACAAAACTGTGGATGTCTTTGTATTTTTGCCAAGTTCCAATTTAGCCTATATTTATTTTTTCGTATTTTATTTAGCAGTGACAATACACAATAAATATATTGCACCAGATAAAGCTAAAAACAACGTTTGTTCAGTAACTCCTGGGTGGAGGCCACTAGTGACACACAGGTTACAATAATAGAGCGGGTGTAGTAAATCTGAGCCTTATACTTTGAAAACCACACACACAATAAAACACCATTAAAAAAAATTACAAACAAAAGAAAAATTAACAACATTTTTAAAACAAGCAAACAGACAAACAGGACCAGATTCCACACCATCACAGCACTTCCAATACAATTATAGACAGACATTTATTTGAGTTCAAGAAATTTCCAACTAGACACTCAGAACCAGTGCTGGCCTTGTTCAGTGTCTTTAGTATCTCAGTGCCTGCAGACATGAGTATCCTTCAGCCATGTTCTAAAACTAAATGTAAAGTGTTCAAAAGGACTTCACTCTTTGGCACTCTGTAGTAAATAATTAGGCAACCTGCCTGCCTGAATATCAAGCATTTTTGTCCAAATGTTGTGAATGATCTTATACATCAAACCCAACATTAGCCATGAGTAAATATATATATATATATTTTAAATGAAGAAATAAGGAAAGCTACTTTTTACCAATAATAACAATAAAAATAAAAATTTTAATACATTATTTTCAGTGCTTGCTTATGCAAAATCTAAAATTGTTTCATTTCTTTGGATTTTGGTTAATGATAACAGGTTTGTGTTTTACTCTATAATGTGTAATTCTGCTGTCAATAAAATTTTACCACAGGCCACATTATTTGAATACACAAATTGAAATTACCACAGGTCAGTGCTTTCACTAGGGAAATGAAGAGTCAAACTACAAAAAGATGACAAGAAGAAAATAAAGAATGTATAATAATATCAACAGTGTGTTAATATAATGTCCATTGCAACATACTGCTGGAATTAAATGAAAATGAGCTTCAGTAAGCTATTGTGAAAGGATCAGGTTATAACACTGAATGTTATGGATTACTTTCCAGTTTATTTTACATACTTGGTCTCTACACTCTGAGAGAATCTAGACCAGTTCTATGTCTTTGAAGTGGTTGTTTGCTTTTTTCAAATTTACATTTCATCCTTTTGTGAAAGTAACTTCTCCTTAGTAATGCACAACAAAATGGCAATGCAAGAAGCAGCAGTTTAAAACAGGAAAGTTCATAGATCATGCAGCCAACAATTCTAGCTTTCTCCATGGTAACCATTCACTCATCCCAGAATAGCAGCCTAGCCTAGCAGGTATGACGAGCCAATTGAGAGGCACTCTCCAAGCATTATGCCTTTTTGTTCTTAGCAATAGAATATGATGGCAGAAAAGCTGGGAATACAAGAATAAATAAATGCTATATTGTAGTCTTTAAAACTGTCTCTGCTACTATCTAACAAATTTTATAAACTGGCACATAATCAAAACCAGTCAAAACATTGACTGTTTCAGCCATGTTTTCAAACAGATTTTTTTTTTCATTTTTGACTGTCTATTTTGCAGGTCCTCTAACATGTGTCTGAGGATATCAATGTTTATTCCAACAAGGCTGGCACTGACCAGAAGCACTGTCAATTCTCCTATTAAAACCAGTATTCAAATTATGACTGTCAAAAAATCACCCAGTCACAACTGATGACTCATCTACAATTACCTGTACCTTAATGGTTGTTCAGATAAATTCTGTATAACGTGCAGAGCAGTAATTCCTAACAAGCTAAACAACACTTACTGTTCTGCTGTTCCTGAGTTTTTATTCTTCTTAGGGTTTTTTACCCTTTTTATTTGCAATCCCTTCCTCTTTATATTTTTTGAAATCATGAATCAAATGAATAAAACTTACTTCCCACATACGTATGCTTCATATTAAAGGCCTACTAAGAAAGGAGGCTCTTGCAACCAGAATGCATTTTGACTGCGATATCTGGTAGGAAGTGTTGACTTTGATTGACAGCTGCTAAAACACTGAAAGCAAAACAAAAGCATACCTGAATACAAATATTAAATAATGAATGAATGAAAACAGTGTTTGTGTTTCCACAAGTGAAACTCAAAACAGCAGAGTGGTAGAATGACGTGGGACTTTGGTAAAATTCATCAAGACAACAGGTAAATATAGAGGCAGTGTTGAGTTTCCATCAACAGCAAAATGAAAACACAAGCAGTCCACAGAGCTCAAACAAAAATACAGTACACAAATAGGGAAAACAACGTCAATATTTCAGTGACTTTTTCACCAAATAACCATAACAAATTGGTGGTGGCTGATAACTGTGAATTATTGATGCAATTATTTTGTTGCCTAAATGCCTGCTGAGACAGCAAGGGAGAAAGGAGGTGGCTCCACTCTACCAGATATAGCCAGCTGATATAGCTATGAATGCTCTAATCTCTCAGGCACTTTGAATCACTTACTACATGCATCAGTGAAAAATTTCTTCCAGTAACCTCTGGCCAAACACATCCTGACTTACCTCTAAACCAGCATCTGTGATGGTGGACCTCTTGAGGCTGACTGAGCGAACACTCTTCTTGGACAGCGGGTAGTTGTCGATGAATTCACAAATGTCGAGGTCTGACACACCCACTAAGCAAAAAGACTGGAAGCCACGCAGGGCGAAGGCCTGCAGGCTGACAAACTCCTTCTCTCCATTGGGCAGCAGGGTATATAGCTCCTTAGCATGCAAGATGGGCGTCACACCCTCCCAGAACTTGGGCTGGTACAGCACCTTGCGCCACGTCTTGCATACCTGCGCCAGCACACATTTTTCAGCTGTGGTGAAGTACCAGAGCAATCGGTTGAGCAGCTTCTCATCTAGGACAAGCTGACGCTCCAGCACCATAGGTTTAGGTAGGGTGAGAGGGGGAGGCTGACGAAGAGATGGCTTCAAGCCCACCAGAGGCTTTCCAGGCTCCAGGTCAGAGGCCAAAAGAGGGGCTGCAGCATGAGGCATGCCAGAGACGTCCAAGTGGTGGTGGTGGTGGTATGAAAGGGAGGACGATGGAGGAGGCAGAATGGATGGTACAGAGGAGGACTGACACAGACGGTTCTTGGCAGCAGGGGTCCCCTTGGTGATGCTCGCACTGCCCAGACCATTCGGTTGGCTTGGGGGTAGTTTCACCATACCATTACGGGTCACACAGGGAGACTTCAGCTCACTGGGGGTGGACATGTTCAACATTGGGAACCTGGTGAAAAAGAACAGATCCAAAGTTTGTTGTTAGACACTAGATATTTGTGTGTAAGGTAATTTATCAAGTGACTCCAAATAAGTGGAGTTGTTTGGTAAAACATTTGTATGCAGGGAAAGTAGCTCTGTAATTAAAATGGATAACAGACCAAAAAAAACAAAAAACTTTCACGGCTGCTTTACGGCACTCTAACACACTGTGACTGCTAACCCACAGACAGTGGAAGAGGAGGACAAAGCCGCCTGAAATAAGCAGCCAGTTAGATAGATAGATAGATAGATAGATAGATAGATAGATAGATAGATAGATAGAT